ATATTATACAGAGACTAGCCAAATTTGCCATTGAGTATATGCACCTTGGTGTTTAGTCATGCTGGCCACATGATTACGGAAACGTCTTCGGACAGCGCTGGCTCTTCGGCTTTGAAATGGAGATGAGCACCGCAACCCTAGAATCGGATTCAACTGGCTTTTGAGCAAGGGAGCCTTTACCTTTACCTATATCTTCAACAAGAGCTACAGACAGTCCCACCTTTCTGGGACTGTGTTGTCCAGGGCTCACATTTATAAATTTGTGTATGGAAACTGCATTTTATATCTTAAGCAATATTAGATTACATTAAAAATGTAATGGGTGAAGAAAAAGGATTCTGCAGAAGCAATGAAGGATAAGTGGAAAGAGTCTATTGCCACTCAGTGAGAAGCTAAGACACAGACAGAAAGTTAATCTGCTTACAAGTGAAGGTCAGTACTGGAAACAATGAAGAACAGATGGCTGATCGTTTTGAGCAACACCTGGCCAGGGCTAACCATTCTATCACATTTTTATTTGACCCTACCCTTTCCCCCAAAGTGCTCAGGGCAAAGTACACCATTCTTCTCACTCCATTTTTATCCTACACCAACCCTATGAGGTATGTTGTACTGCAAAAGAGCAACCATCCCCACTTTTAGGTTTGGATCAGACCTGGCTGCAGGTGATATAAGTCTGGGAGTGACATCATCACATCGGTGACATTGCGTGGTGATGCCCCAAAACCAGAGCATTGGTATGTGACATCACCGACATGATGATGTCATTTCTGTGTGACATCAACAGATTGCAGCGCTCCGCCCCCACTCCTCGAAAGTCCCTCCCCCGCTGGTGCAATCACTGGGCCTGGCAACCCTACCTCCAAAGCTGTGATTTCCTCCAGGGAACTGATCTCTGTAGTCTGGAGATCAGTTGTAATTCTGGGAGAACTGGAGGTTGACAAGCCTAACATACACTATAATCTTCGTTCCTGCACCACCAGTGTTCAAAGTATTTATTTATGTAGAGTATTTCTGTCTGCACTCTTAACCAAAAGGTTCACAAGATTCACACATGGACCCAGCCAGGAGTCAAAGCCCATCAAGCCTCCAGTAGCCTGAGAAGAAAAGTTCATAAGAATAGGCTGTAGCTTATTCTAGCACTGGGGAGACAAGAAACCTGGTTCAGAGCACTACTGACATTGATCAAACACCTATCATAGCTGTTGGTTCAGGCAACCACTGCTGCAGAATAAGGAAAGCTAAAAAATGTTTGCCCCAATGAAGGCAGCATGCATATTTTTTTGCTATTCAGTGTGATCAAGTTTTAATAAAACATCATTCTGAAACCACATGATTGGAATATAGACCTAAATGTGGGGCAGTGTATGGCAGATATTTTAGGACCATGCTACTCCACAGACACCTACTTCAAAGATCCTGGGGGTCAGTTCCAACCAGATTTTCAGGTGGTGGAAAAGGAAAGGGATCTCCTTCAAACACTAAAAAAGGTGACGCTGGAGATCATGAGACCTATGTGAACAAGAGAGGTGAGATGGGGGCTACAGTAATGAGGTGAATTGGGTGAGATTCTGTTAAAAAATCACTGGATTCAACCCTCTGCCTCTATTCTGCAATGTATTATCTCTGTGGATTTCTGGTGAGAGCAGTTGAGATAGCATGGGAACGCTGCCAAGCTTTCCTCAAACATACAACCAGGTTCAGTTCCTCCATGTTAGTAGCTTATGCTTGGACACCTGCTTTCATGTTGGTGTACTGGGCTGTATTAGACAGAACTATGTTCAATAAGCATATTTACCAGAAGGAGCCTAATTATACCGTATGTGTTCTCTCAAGTCTATAAGGGCAGTTCACTTTGACTCTCTCCTTATGTCTTTTGGTGCTACCATTCTTACATGTTTTCCTGTCTAGAGATGTTTTGTGGTCAGTGTCAATATGAAACATAGTTATCACTTCCAGTATATCTATGTACCTCTATATTCCTCAGAAAATATCAGGAGTCAAACTTGAAATTCTAAAAAAGGATTCTAAAAAATTTATACAACTGCTCTTCTCCCATGATTTTTCGTATTTATTCATCCTGTGAACCACTTGGGATCAACTTCAAACCAACAAACTACCAAGTATGAATTCAGTTTATCAGCCAGCACTCAGCTAGTAAGCCTTCCTGTTGAACACGTTTCACAAGATCCAGATTTGTATAAATGATGGGGACCATTATAATGGAAATGAGAGCTGGTGGAAAACAGAGACAGAAGGGGGCAGATGAATATCCCTGGAGAAAGAGTTTCATGGCCTAACAGACAGTCTCTCTCTCTCTCTCTCTCTCTCTCTCTCCCCAGTTCCAACCTAATATTAAAAGACAGGGACACATGAAGCAGGGCCTCAGGCAGGTTCTTGTGGAAGTAAGTGATTCTTAGGTATGCTGGTCCCAAACCACTTAGCACTCTAAAGGTTAACACCTTTTATTGGGCTCAGAAATAAATTGGTAGCCAGTGTATGTGGAACAAGACTAGAATGATATGGTCCCTACAACCTACTCCAGTTAGCACCCTGGCTGCAGCATTCTGGAGCAGTTGAAATTTCTGAACACTTTCATGGGCAGTAATCAACATTACCAGTAGGGCTGCCAGCTCTGGATTGGGAAATACATGGAGACGCTTCCGGTTGATGGCGGTACGGTAGGCAGACACATCTCCCAGACCTCCCGGGGATGTGGTCTGTGCACGGCGGGAAGGAGGGGGAGCGCTGGCCCGTTACCCCCCCCAAGGAGCCTGGTGGAAGGCTCCTAGCCAGGGGACTTACGAGGAGTCGCCTCTTCGCCTGCACGTTGTGGGTGAATTGAGGCGCTTCTCCGTCCCAATGGTCCTTCCTGCGCAGTGCCCGAATGGGATCTAGTGATGCCGACCGGGGCAAACGTAGGAGATCGAGCGGGCGAAACAATGCAAAGCGGAGTCAGAAGACCAGATATGAACGTGAGTCAGACTGAGCGAAACAATGGTTAAAGAGAAAAAGAAAGCTCCCTACCCCATGTT